GCCATGTCGATTCTTCAATTCAGCGATGACACTCTTCACGGTGATCTTAGGTTGTACCTCAATCGGATGTTTGATTGTTTGTGAAACCTTCCTTGCACTCAATTGTCGGTGATCTAGAGAAATCAGTGCCGGGCGACCTACAAGTGTGGTTGTTGTCTGTCTTACGAATGAGCCAAGCCCCATTTCTTTTAACATATGTCGCCCGAACATGCCACATGCATCCATCGCCATGGTTCTCGCAACAAACATGAATTTGTTTAGTGTCGGAAGTGATGACACGATATTGAAAGCTTCTTCGCATAACAGTTTCTTTCAATGCATCGACCACCTGAGGCTTTCCTCCAAATGTTTGGCCAAGCACGAATCCAGAATCAGGAGTCCAGATAGGTATAGGAGGGAGGTCAGGATCGTCTTTGTGAGCATAGAGAGGATGTTGTGGCACCATCATGTAGTGAGGTGTGGGGGGCTCAAATTCCCCCTCATCAACTTCTAAATCTTCACCATCTGAACTACTAATAGATTATAAATCTTCATCTTCCACGTCGCTTGCCTCGCTAGTGTACGGAGGACTTGGTTTATCCACATACGGATCATTGTTGATGCTAGATGTTGGTGTAGATGCTTGTCTGGGTGCCTGTTTGGGTGCCCTTATGTAATCACATTCTTCACCCCATACTGGTCACTCCTGTCCGTCATGTTCCACCAATTTACCAGGTGCAGTTCGATCCTCATATTTTGGCCATGGTACATCATGCAGAACTCTGAAATCTCATGAACCGAAAATCCCTCCCGATCCTTCACCTTGTTCGGTATAACCGCCACCACCATATTGGCCAACAACTTTTGTATCAACATACACCTCAGCAATTGGAAAAAAAAAATCTGCAATAAATCTCACCATCATATTAATGTAATCATCGTCAGGCAGAACTGATCCTTCATATACAAGTGCATAATCCTTGTAAACCGGCATATGGTAAGTCATCTTGCATACTCCTCGCCCTCCTATGCAACATCGTTATGCACAAATGTGGTTGAGTTCTTGCCAAGTAAATATGCTCTCAATCCGGACATTACTTGATTCACCATCTTCGTAGTCAATAATATTCTGAAAATGTGTAATTCGACCATTCCACCGAATCAATAGGTCGAATTTTTCGAAATTTTCTACCATTTCTGCAGTTTATGGAAGCAGCTCATTAAATACAGTTCAAACAATACTAAATTAATCTAAAATTCTAATATGCTCATTCAATAACGTAAGCAGAACCTACCTCCAAAATTTATCTTCTTTGCTCAGCTATGGTGCTCCCGCTGCTGCAGTTTGTGTTTGGAAGAAAGAAGATAGAAAGTATAAGAGCTGCCAGAATGTGCTAAGTGCTTGTTTTTTATTTTCATAAACTGATGCAGTGGTTCGAGGCCAAAGAAATCGAACTACAGTGGTTCGAGTCCATATAACTCGATCCAGGGCAACCAATAATATTACCCCTGCACCCTATTCTGGAGCATGTTGGGCCGAAAGCGATTGGACAGAATGATTGTGCATTAGTTCGAGTCCAAGGCAATCGAACTAGACTAGTTCGAGTCCATAAAACTCGATCTAGTACAACAAAGAATCTTATCCCTGGCACCCTATCCTGAAGCATGTCGGGGGAAAGTGACTTTGTAGATAATTGATTAGTGGTTCGAGGCCATGGGAATCGATTTATGTTGTTCGAGTCGTAAGGAATCGATCTAGTGCAGATATGGATAAAGGCTTCTAAAGTCGTTTCATTTGACCGAGTTGTTTGGCATCGATCTATGTGGATCGAGTTGTCCATATTCGATCAACTTTGATCGAGTCCTTTGTCCTCGATCTATCCAGATTGATTCTTTCAAAATCGATCTACCATTGATCGAGTTTTAAGAACTCGTTCTACCCTTGATCGAGGTTTAAGAACTCGATCTACCCTTGATCGAGTTTTAATAACTCGATTATGTATTTGTTCGAGTTTTTAATCGTCGATCTGGCTTGTTGTTCGAATTTATTGGACTCGAACCCTTTGAAACTTTGGTAGTTTGAGAAAATTTTATAACTCTTATGTATTTTGGGAATTATTTTTGATTAATACTGTATTCGGGGAATTAATCCCTTTGCATCCGTGGAAAAGATTCTATGGCTGAAATCGAGCTCGTCACAGCGGATCGCCTGGAGACATTGGACATTGAGTCCTGGTGCCAGCTGAAGGCGGTATCTCCCAGTTCTGAGCGTCTTGCGAATTTTCGCAATGGATTGGTTTACGCAGGAGGAAATTGATGAGCTCGTTTCCAAGTTGCCCGCTCTCGAGTCTCTTTCTCTCAGGCTCTGTGATCCGAGAGGTGATTGGTCAGGAGGTCGGAGTAGAACGCGGAGAGTGAGGATTTCAGGGGCCTTTAAGCTTCGGGAGCTGCGGCTAATTGATCGTCCATATTTTCCAAGTCTTCCAATCCAATAGCTGGGTCCGGATCACCTCAGTAACCATCCCATCAGTAACCATCAGTAACCCCTTCCCCTGGCCCCCACGTGTCAGCTTTTTCTTTTTATTTAAAAAAAAATACGGAGGGGCACTAAGGTAAAATTGCACCCCTATTTAATGATGTCTCTGACGTGCTGACGCGCTGACGCTGACCAGATCACATCAGCGCCTTCTCTCTCCTCAAACAACCTTTAATTTTCTTTCTCTTAATCTTTAACGGACGATTTCTCACTCGTTTTAAGTCGGAATTTAATTTTTTTTGCACAGTTAGATCAGATTAATTGTGATCTTCAAAATGATATCCACTTTGATATTTTTCAGACATAAAAAAATTTGTCAGTTATTACCAGTCATTACCATATGGTAATGACTGGTATTGACCATACCATATGGTATGAAAAAATTTGGCACATCAATATATATTACGTTACCACCCAATACCATATGGTATAGTGTGGTAATATCAATATATATTTCGTTACCACCCAATACCATATGGTATAGTGTGGTAATATCAATATATATTTCGTTACCACCCAATACCATATGGTATAGTGTGGTAATATCAACATATGGTAAATCTAACTACCATACAATACCACCATAGTAGAACATGGTTAATCGAATGAACACAAATTAATTGTAATTACCATACAATACCACATGGTATGAGAAGGTAAAACCATACAAAAATAATATAAATCTAATTACAATCCTTTACGACCATAGTAAAACACGATATCCATAAAAATACATTTCGTTACCACACTTTACCATATGGTATAGACACATTACCATATGGTATAGACACATTACCATATGGTATATACAAATTACCATATGGTATAGTGTGGTATATACACATTACCATATGGTATATACACAATTACCATATGGTATATACAAATTACCATATGGTATAGTGTGGTAATCTCGGTATATATATATATATATACAATTACGACTCTCTTCACTTTCTTCTCCAGCTTCATTGTCTTCTAACTCTTTTTACTCAGAACTGGAGTCGATTACCACCCACTACCACCATGATAAAACTCGTGACCATAAAGATACATTTAGTTATCACACATTACCATATGGTATAGTATGGTAATACCAATACATATTACCTACAAGGAAGAAAACAGAAGGAGGGAGAGACAAAAAAAACTCGTCTTCTGTCTCCTCTCATTTCTCCTCTGCAATCAAGAACACCAAATGCAACAACAAAAAAGAGGAGGAAGATCGGAATTGAAAATTCACAAACAAATACTAAAATATAAAACATGCAAACTTAACTCACATAGATCCGTCCCCTCTTTGTCAATATGGAACGTCATCTATTTTGAGGCCGAGAAAAGAAAGAACATAAGGAAGAAGCAGCTGCAAAGAGATTAGATCTAGAGAAGAAAGAGATTGGCAGAGAGAAAGGAACAAAGAAAGAGGAGATTGCTAGAGAGAAAAATGAAGAACAGAATAAGAGATTAGATCTAGAGAATAAGGAGAATGAGAGAGAGAAAGGAACAAAAAAAGAGGAAAAGAGAGTTGCAGAGATAAGACACTAACTCTCTCTCCTCCATGCAAAGCAAACTAATAAATGTTGAACAAATTAAAAAAAGGAAACAATTAAAAATTCAAAAAGCGGACAGAAATACCCCTCATCACCCCGCATCAATCCCAGCCACATGATCGCTCCGTCCTAGATCAACGGCTCCGGGTGAGTTACTTACAGATCAGTAACCAGTGGTTACTCACTGTATCCCAAGCCCCAATAGCTTGAGATTGACTCTCCTAATCTGGCCAGCCTTCACTACCAGGTTTCATCTTGCTTCGATCTTCCGCGAAACATTAATGTCGTCAATGCGCGCCCCGATTTTGTATCCTAATCCCACAGGCCAACATAACACCTCCCCTTATTTCATTTGAAAACCGTGGCCTTTTGAAGTTTTATTCTGTTTTCGGCTCAGATGTGTTTTTTTGTTTTTTTGTATCCCACAGCCCAACATAACACCTCACCCTATTTCATTTTCAGCCCGCTCCCCATTTGGCTCGGCCCAACCTTTTTGACTCGTCACTTCATTACCACCCAAGCCTTCCACCGAGCCCATTAGTATAGCGCTATCTCCATATACTACAAGTCCACAATTACCTCCATTCCCCTCCACTCTACCATCGAATATCTACTTTCCCGATTTACTTCATTCTGCTCCCTTCTCTCCTTATTTCTTTCTTCTTCAGGAACTACCTTTTTTTCACCCAATATATCCGCCAGCCTGATTTTGGCTCTAGAGGGGATGTAAGAAAAGAGATAAAGACGAAACATATTAGACGTAGAATCCCAAAATTATAAGGATAAGGAAACTTAATCCATACTCATTAATGTGGATTAACACCTGCCAAATATTACCTAAGATTGATATCCATCAATATAAAGCTGGCGACATCAAGAATATATTCATCTATAAAAAAAAAGTGTTAGGAAATAAAACTTTCATGAGGGTTTGAGAGTTGAGAAGGAGAAGAGGACATGAAAAATACTGCAATGAAGTTTGTTTTTCTTGTCATTGCTCTCTTAATTTTTACAACTGGTATGCATCGTTAATTTTGATCTTTTTTTATTTTAAATTTTGTATTCGATTGGAAAAAAATTACTTTTGTATTGATGATATAATAGATTAATAATTAACAATGTGACGTGTTGTGATTGAAGGTCGGGAGATGAGAGTTGTAGAAGGAAGGGGGCCCGTAATCTCATTGAGATGCGGTACCGTGAGTGATTGTGGCAATGATTGTGATGAAATAACAGGTTGCGATTGGTGTGAATGCATACAAAACCGATGTACGTGTATGGATAATCCTCCATCTTCTCGAACTAATGGTGTCTATGATCCTCTGTTGTCCTGAATCATAGAAATATATCATAATCAGTTTGTAGAATAAAGGGAGAGTAAAGACCAATCTTTTTTGTTGTTTCATCTTCCTTTGAGTATAATAGTTGATAGAGCCACTACTCTAAACGTTTTCTTCAATCCCTAAATTTTCATCTTTGTTGACGCCAATACTGTGAGAGATTGCAATTTGCAGAGGTTCCTCAACCATGGTGACAAAGCTGAAACGTATCGGAGAAATCAGTCTACCGCTAAAGGCCTTATGGGTTGTTTTGTTGTCTTGTTGTGGTTGATTTTCTGCTTAATTAACTTCTGTGGTTGATAATGATATTGGACCTGTCGATTGTGGTAAAACTTGCATGTGTAGACAAGTCTATAGGTTGTGGGGGAAAAAAAATGAGAAAGAGCCTAAACAAAGGGAGAGTGGACATACTGGTAAAAGAGAAACAAATTATATGTTCTTATGATCAGTTTTTCCTAGGTAAAATTTCATAGATAGTTATATATGACTAATTAACCAGACACAATAGTCGACATATAGTATTACTATTGATGCAAAGGTTTTTTTTATGTTATTAGTTTGACAATCCTGTTGAAATACTGAGGCGTAAAAGTACCCAAAAAATACAAATTTGTAACCAATAACCCGACTTTTGCCAAGAATGCTCCTCTAAGTCTTGTTCAACATCTCTAGCCAGAACTCGTTACACTTGCTGTTGAAAATCATCACAAAATTTCTCAACAAATAACCCATAATTTAGGCACCACTTCATTGCATCATGTAGGCTAATAACTCCATAAGAAACAGATCATTCATACATGCGCTTAGTACTTCACAAACGCAATGCAATTCTGCCTCCCGCCTCCTGGCACCGTCGAAGGGATCCGACAAGTCGAACAAAAATACCACCTTCAGGGCACAATCCATCACCAACCTGTCGAGTGAAAAGGCAAACGAAAGAAGATAGGTTAGGAGTGATCGTGGGCGAGGTTGGGAGTGATCGTCAGAGGAAGTAAAGGAAGGAAGGAGCAGTGGATCAGAGATATCTCTTGATTTTTCTCTCGGACAGAAGATAGGTTAGACGGCTGGGTATTGAGAGAGGTAGGTGGGTTGGGATGGGGTGGGTCGTTTGGTTAAGTTTACTTATCTTATTGTTAATTTTGATGACGTGGAGTGCTAATTGGACCAAACTAACATTACTTTGAATCATGGTAAAGGAAACCGGATCGTACCGGCCGGTTCAACCGGTAAAACCGGGAATCAGACCAGTGACGAAACGGCACCCTTCCAGCGCCTATTCTACCGCGCCGGCCGATATTAACGGCGTAACCGGCATTTTCCGGTATACCGTCCGGTTTACATCAGACCGGCGGTAGACGAAGTCGACGAAAAAAAAACAATAAAAAAAACAATAATGGACTATTCTGCTAACCCTAATCGATTCTTCTTGGCCCTTCTCTCCAAAGTCCAAAATTTGTTCACTTCACCTGCCGTAGCGGCGCAGCCGCTCCTCCTTTCTCCAGATCGCCGCCTGCCTGCTCGTGACGTGAAGAAGAGCTCGACGCCGGCCGTCGATCGATTTCCACCCTCCAGCGCAGCCTACCCCTCCAGTTCTTCTCCAGTTATCCAGCAGTCCGATCGATTTCCGCCGATCGACGCCGCCGCATGTCCTTCGTCTTCTCCAGCAGTCCGGCCACCGGCGAGCTCGTGAATAAGTCAATACGAGTCAAGAGAATGCCGCCGCCGCGTGTGCTCGACCTCCCCTGCCTCTGGCGACCGGCGAGAAGGGCAGAGGACGAGCCTGCCGCCGTGCTGAGCATCCCTCTCCGCTGCGAAGAGCGCCCTGGGAGGCCGATTTGTTGTAATTTTCCTGTATGGTATTGAGATTTTTTTTTCTATGTTTCAATGTCCAGTAATAATCGCCTCTTTTTGGATTACTGCAATGAACAGAGTATCGTTTGGGGAATATCTTAAATTGAAGCCAACTAGCCTCCCTCTCCGCCGCGTCGAGCCTCCCTCCTCCGCCGTGCCAAGCCTGCCGCCGGTTGGAGTTTCGAAATCAGGTAAGGAGATTTAAATCGAGAAGTTCACTTGTTCTCTTTCTTTCTTCCTTCCTTTTTGATAGAATAGAATATAACTCGGCTCTTCTTCAAAGGGACACCACCTAATCTGAGCTTTGCCTATTCCAATGTTCTGCCCTTTATAATATATATTACATATGTCTATTATGTCTATTTAGTTTATTTAGGTTTGTTATCCGGTATATTCCGGTTTTATTCCGGTATTACTCCGAAACGGTATCCCAAATCTGCCGGTACGGTTTTTTAGTCAAAAAATATTTTTTAATTACAAAAACGGTATTTTACCGGTACACAACGATTGAACCACGGTCGTACCACAAAATACCCTACCGCTGAGGGATCCGGTATGACCTCCGGTACGGTTTCCTTTACCATGCTTTGAATGGAAAAGGACCAAATGATCGTATTGTTATACACTTAGAGCACTTCTACCATAGGCGGAGGCAGGGGCATTAGCCCTTGTCACGGGACAGGGGCAAATTTCGGAGTGGAAAAAAATACCCATATATATTTATATTGATGATGAAACAAATAATTAAAGGTGGTATTATAGTATTTTATCAGTACAACACAACTTATTAGTGGTTCATAAACTTATATAAACTTAATTTATTATACTATAAACGAACTTTTAATTGTAATAAAGACCTAATAAAATCATTTTTCTCCTTATGTCTATTCATTTTTCCCAACAATCCTGAAATTTTTCAGCGACAATGACAATTTCACTAGTTTTGATTCTACCAATTTGCAACTATAAGTGCAGAAAGAACATTTTCAGCTTTGAATTATATTAAGAACAAGTTTTGAAGTCGAATTGGCGACTAGTTTGCTAATGATTGTATAGTGTGATACATTAAAAGAGACATATTTAACATTGTAGACAACAAATGTTTTGTGTTTTTTTCACAATATGAAATTCCGTCGTGGTTGCTTATGAAAACAGTGATTTTATTAGTCGATTATTTTTTATATGTGAATGAACTATTTGGATATAATTGGTTTTAATTTTATTTATTAAATATTTATTAATTAAATATTTATATATTTATATTATGAAAAGAGGACAGGGGTAGTTTCGAATCCTGCCTCCGCCACTGACTTCTACTATGATATATAGCATTGGTGCTTTAATGTACAACTCAAAGTTGTACCATAACATTAAATGTATAAGTTTAGGTTGTACCATAAAACAATTTGTATCATTATGTTATGGTATAACTTTACAACTTGAAGTTGTACCATCAAATAAAGGTACAAGTTCAAATTGTACCATAAAAGAATTTGTACAAAAAATATAGGTACAATCTAAAATTGTACCATAACATAAATGTACAATTTTAAGTTGTACCATAAAGATAAAAACCTATAACACCAATACTGTAAAATTTCTCATACACTTAAATGAGTATTGGAAAAACAAAGGCTTGTGAGTTGTAGAAAGTGCATAGATTTGTGCCATTTATAATAACTAGTATTCTTGCCCGCGCTTCGCGCTGGGATAACCATATTTTTAAGTTTATTCCTTGGAAACAAAAGAATTTCGTTGGATGCATATTCTATTAACAAATATGTCATAAACACTTAGCCTTGAAAACGAATTCTTGAAGACGTATTTCACTATCTCCATATTCGCATCTGATGAGCATCATCATGCTTAATTACGTGGTTGAATAGTACATTTTGGTGCCAAATACTAATCATTTATTTTCTAAGGATTGGAGAAAGTTAGCCATTTGTGACCACCAACAATAAGCAGCGATTTATTAGTGTTAGTGGGCTTAGCATTTATATGGGCCTGGCAAATAAATAGAACGACCATCAACATGTCGTTTTGTAAAAAAACGGATTCTGGTTTCTGTTTTCTATTTGTAGGATCAATCTCCTAACCTGCAAAATTTTGGGTGAAGAACATGCCAAGAACGCCAAGAACTCCCAGCAAATCCCAGAATTCAAAGGGCGTCACAATTTAGCTAGATTTTGTGGCTCCAAGCTGCAAATTGTGTAATCCAATAAAGTTCCAGAACATCACACGTTCTTTTATAACACTTAAAGTTCCAGGTTTGAGTTGTGATGAAGTCAAATTGTGTAATCCAATAAAGCTCCCAAAAGTTAAGTTGTGATGAAGTCAAATTGTGTAAATAAGCAGCTGTAAGCAAAGAGAGTTACTCACAACAAAGACCAAGCTCACCCTTCAGTTTGCACAGAGTAATGGTTGAGATGGCTTTAATTTTTCAGATAAAAAAACTGAAAGTTTGGCATCTAGAAGACCACAGAAGATGGGATAATCAGACATGTCTCAACCGCAACCATTGACAGGAAAAATGGATACACTGAATCAGATGGTAAAGCAACTCTTGACGTGATGACATGAACTAACCAGTGACATCTGATGACATGAACTAACCAATGCTTTCTTAATACACAACATCGAAGGCAATGTTAACCGAGAACTGCTGGAATAATTCATAGTTCAGGTCAAGTAGTTTGATTCATCAAAATGGATACTCATATTTGTGATATGTTGTCTTTTTATGAACACAACCTGGACAAAACAACAAAGTGACTGAAACAGACAGGAAATTGATGTCGACATAAAACTGCAATTTTGATTTCACATAATTCTTGACCTGAGTGAACCTGCAATGATAAAACAAACATTGTATCATGTCTACGTGCAGCAAGAGATTGAACATTTTGGATAGCTCAACATAAACAATGTGCAACAGATCAACATTTTTTTCAGGCATGAATGCACTAACAACACACCTGTTACATTTGTGAAATGTTTCGATTTGTGTTGATGTCTTCAAAAGCTTCAGTAAAGACAATGTTTCTGGTGCAGTTGTTGGGAATCCCGTCTGTGTTAACTATCAAGAACCGTAGACCCTCTGCTGATCTCACCCTTGAAACAGCAACATACAATTGGCCATGGCTGAAGACAGGTTCTGGTAGATAAACTCCTACTTTCTCGAGAGTCTGGCCTTGACTTTTATTTATAGTCATTGCGTAACAAAGTCGCACAGGGAACTGCCTTCTTTTAAGTATAAATGGCCACCTCCTGTCCTCAACATTTAACACAATTCTAGGGATAATAACAGGAAGAGTGCACCTCTGAAATCCAGTTGTTCTTGTCACTCGAATAGTCAGATCGAAAGAGCAAGCCCTATAAAATCCCCTCGCAGTTTGGAGGCCAAATCCGCTGATGATATATATGGTACCCACACGCAGGGCGCGTTCTGTATCTGCAGCCATCTCCGGATCAGCAAGTGACTGGATAAGCATGCCCTGTTACATGCAAGCGCAAACGGTAAACAACTCAAAAAATGCAAGTGAAAATTAAAATAAGCTGCAGCATACACCAATCCCGGAAATCCAAAGAAAAAGCTCAAAGAACAAAAGGCAGCCTCCCTTTAAAAAAAAAAAACAAAAGGCAGCCTATGACACTGCAGCAAGGCAACCTCCTAAAGAAACAACTCATAACCCAAAAGTAAAATAAAAGAATAAAGATACCAACCAGAGCAAACTCAACGAAGACAAAAGCAGCTCTAAGCAACGCAACCACCCCAGCTTGACACTCCACACAACTCATGAAAGACAATAATAAACGCAGAGCTTTTGAACTGCTCACCGTCTGATCAACCCACAGGCAACAGTGGTTAAAGATCCTCGAACCCGATGGCGTTTTAGCGAGCCACATATGCAGCAGACGGAGTCGCAGTGTAGCATCACGACTGGCGGCCCCCCTCAAGTTGCACAAAAGAGTCGAATCCATAGCAATCCACAAAGAAGCAAGCAAGGAAGAAAACGGGGAAAAACAGATGAGGAAGAAGGGTAAATGGTCGAACCGAAGCTAATTACCCCTATATAGCTCTCTCTCTCCAGCCCAACAATCAAGGCATCCCTGACACGCCGCAATGATTTCAATATCGGTAATCGAGGTCGTCATGTGGCAAGAAACACCCCAACACTTCCCCATGTCAAGAAGGCAGCAGAAGATAGACCCTCTGACACCATAGCCTCCCACAGGCCAATAGAACAACAAAAGATACCACGTGGAAAGCAGGAAAAGCGGGTGGAAAATGGGGGCTACATCAATCAAAAACCCCAAGGCTTCCCAGTCTCTCAGAGCTTCCGAAGCTTCAATCAGTATGAGGAAAGCCCCCCTGAGACCAACGCGCCAGAAACCGAGCTCCAATTCAAAGCCAACGAAGCAAACCCAAAAATGGTAACCAAACACACAATCCCATTAAAAATGGAAAAGACAGGCAGAGAATGGAAAAGACAGGCAGAGGAACCAAGCCCGCAAGCTCAGCTTCCCGCGAGGCACGGATGAAAAGCAGCTTCCCGGGAGGCCGAACAGTAAATCCGAGTCTGTATGAACAGGTAAAAGGTTTCTGGATGTACAGTGGCAGGTGTATTGAGCTATTATACATTAAAAATGGAAAAGACAGGCAGAGGAATGGAAAAGACAGGCAGAGGAACCAAGCCCGCAAGCTCAGCTTCCCGCGAGGCACGAATGAAAAGCAGCTTCCCGGGAGGCCGAACAGTAAATCCGAGTCTGTATGAACAGGTAAAAGGTTTCTGGATGTACAGTGGCAGGTATATTGAGCTATTATACTTTTAATTAACCTGTCTGTATCGGTCCTTCTTTCTTTCTGTATCGCGGAAAATTCCACCCGACCCGCTCCTGAGCTAATTTGACGACTGAGGGAAAAAAAAAAAAAAAAGGAAAGAAGGAAGAAGACGAAGGGTTTTTTCCCCCTTTCTTCCGCTATCTGAAACTCCGGTCTCCGTCGCAGAACTCGCCAGCGATCCGTAGCTTCGTTTAAAAAAATGGTGCTTTCCCTATTCCATCACTCGATGCTCATTCAATAGTAAAACACTGCCCGTCGTTTGCTTGCTCTGATTGATTTCTAAGCTGAGCTTTGTTTGTTTTGTTTTGATGGTGGTTGGCAGATCCGGTTCATACTTCTGCAGAATAGGCAGGGGAAGACTCGTCTCGCCAAGTATTACGTACCTCTCGAGGATTCCGAGAAGCACAAAGTCGAGTACGAGGTGAGTTCGTAAAACACCGCCATTTCAGCTAGGTTTTCCCCCCTGATTTTCTAATCATGATTGATAGGGAAGATTGCTGATGTATGATTGTTTGTAACTGGTAGGTTCATCGTCTGGTGGTCAATCGAGATCCCAAGTTCACGAATTTCGTCGAGGTTGGTGATTACTCTTCTCACCCCATTTAGGATCTGTGCAATGAATGAAATGGGTTGATGTTTGATCATTGTAATAGAAATAGAAACTGTGGAAATTAGACTGCTGTTTGGGAAGAACTTATCTTGGAGCTCTCATTAGTGTGACTACTTTTGAGGGATTTTATCAGATTTCTGCTGGAAACCCTCCATCTCTAATCTGGGGTTCTCCAAGTTTTGTGATGAAGCTTGTGGGAATGTGTGTTTTGTGTTCATTCCGAAGAATCAGTTATATTGTCTCTTAAGTCTTGATATATTCAGAACTATTACTACTGTCTTGCTCTAGCTGTTAAGGCTTGTTTACATGATGGTGATTCCCCCATGTTGCAGTTCCGAACGCACAAGGTGATCTACCGACGATATGCTGGATTGTTCTTCTCCCTTTGTGTGGATATAACGGATAACGAATTGGCTTATTTGGAGTGCATCCATTTGTTTGTCGAGATATTGGATCATTTCTTCAGCAATGTGTGTGAGCTTGACTTGGTCTTTAACTTCCACAAGGTACTACTGCTCCCTTAATCTTTGTTTGATTGGTAAGGTCTTCTCTCTGTGAGAGCAGTCCCAGTTATAGAATCGGTTTATATGCATTCAGTCTGCTCCGCTCGTGTCCCATTTTGTTTTCTTCTTTGCTCTCTTGAAGGTTTACCTGATACTTGATGAGTTCATTCTTGCTGGAGAGCTCCAAGAAACAAGCAAGAGGGTATGCATTTTTCTTATGCTCTTACTATTCTTTACATACTCTGGCATGTTGGAGTCAATACGTACTCCTCCCTACGAATAATGTTTCTCTTATATTCATGAGGGTGATAGCTAGATACTAAATAGTAAATACAAGTATTTAATTAAGAATACTTGGTCAACTTAGGATGCATTATGATGGTTTCCACTGAAATTTGCAGGCTATCATAGAGAGAATGGGAGAGCTGGAGAAGCTGGAGTAAATATTGTGATTCTATACATGAAGAGTGTTCCCGAGTGAATTTTTCCCCAATTGTGCGATTTTCCATTGAATATCCAGTTTCTTTCTCCAATTTGAACATCCAGTTTCCCCCTCACCGTATCAAGCATTGTAATCATAGGGAAAACGGATGCTTTACTTTGTTAGGCATTGAATTTTTCTGTTTATTAAATGTCAGTTGTATGTCTTTCTCGGACCAAAGTGTTCAATCCTGTTATTGACCATCCTGGGTTCAACTCATTTCAAAGAATGTTGAATTTGTGTCCCAAAATCATGTTAAAGATACAGAATTTTATTCATCTATATGATATTTTAAAGCTGAACTTGTGCTGCTTGTTGTTGATGGTGTTGTAGTAGTTGTTGAGTTCTTAGGTAGGAGGAGCATACACTGGCCTGTTGAGATATGTTGTTCGTTGGATGAAGTTCACTCTATAGTTCACACATTGGAAGACGACATAAGTAACAAGTGGAACAACTGAAACTCTAAAAATTTGTGTTCTCAAGGACCAAACGGAAACTTGCTGTGATGTGCTTCCATTGAAACTGGTATTGGCTTGCGGATCACTAGCTGCTTTTGAGAATTGTATGTGCCAAGAGGAAAGAGAGCGGGTTGTGAGTGATTGAAGCCAATCCTCCTCTGTCGCAGAACAATACCATCTCTGGCTGATTCGTTTGTATTTGTTGAGGAAACTTCAGGCAAACCTTTTTCTCGTGCCGTGGAAGTCACTCAGCGTCATAGATAATCCTGAATTAAAGTTCTCGTGGATTCGACTCTATCTGGTGGCGGTGGGCGGTTGTCAGTTGTAACAATTGGATTCAACTGTATAACATTAGAACTTGGAGGATGATTGTGGTTATTGTACAAGCAGGGTATTAATAAGCCCCGCCAGAACCAACGATTCCTTAAGAAATAGAATAACAACTTTTCTCTAAACTCTCTCTCTCCTCTCTCTCTCTCTTTCTCTCTCAAACTTTACCCTTCTCTCTATTTCTCGCAATTCTTCTCTGAAACTCAACATTCGCCAAGATCATCAGACCAGGGGATTACAAATTGGTATCAGAGCCTTTTTCTTGGCACCATGGCGAACACGCGGGGCACAATTGATGAGCGTCTTACTCACCTAATTGAGCACACCAGTCGTTCAGAGAAGGAGATGGGATCGACGATTGCAGGTATCGAAGACGTGATTACTACGCCTTCTAATCAATTCCGCGAGTTGGTTGGCCGCGCTGAAGGACATACGCCGCAGTTCGCCACTATCAACACACGAATGGAAGGGATGGAGCTCCGCCATGCTGATCAAGCGACACAATTTGCGCAAATGCAGAGCATTCTTCGTCGTCTGGAGGCGGGTCGGAATCGTGATGAAGTGTTGGTTAATGGAGTTCGACTGGCGGATTATGGTTTGTTGCCTCTTCCGAATCAAGGTCGACGCGTAGCTAAGCATGCCGCACAATTGCAAGCTCCTCGAGGTCAAGCTAGTGAAATTCAGATGGAAGAGCAGGAGAATTTTCCACCGCCTCGAGGTAACCCTAACCATCAGCTATCGTGTTTCGATTTTCCTACTTTTAGTGGGGATAATCCTCGTGAGTGGACCAGAAAATGCGAGAAGCTCTTTCAGATTTATGCAATTCCGGATAATCACTAGGCTACATAAAACTTGTAGTAGATGTGCGCATTCCGCTGGACCCTGGTGCTATTTATATTATAATAATTAAAATGATATTTTAGTTTTCTCCAATATCTTATAAAAAATAGAAACTTTTCTTCTTCTTCTTTTTCTTCTTCTTTTAAATGTACTTGGTTTCAAACTTCTCTGTAAGGAACTTGAGCTCACAAGTGCTAACGGAGTAAAGGTGATTTGTTATATTATCAGCTCATGCATAAGACATTTATTCGAAGAAAGATTTAAATTTGACTCATACTAAATTCATGTATTAGAGACAATGTACCATTCACAACTCCGCATATTTTTTTTATCTTTGAATCACCATTATCTTATGTTTATTATTTTTATCTAATTTATTCATTAGACAATTATTTTCTTTTTTAACAATAGATCATTCGTGTGTCACGAAACACCAAAAAAATAAAAACAAAAGTCATAAAAGATCGAAACAAAAAATAAAAATCAAGACCGACACATCACGTTAAGCATACACTATGAGCAGGCCTATTCAAATTGCAACAAGGCCTGTGTCAGTGTCACTGCCCGCGTTCGCCTCAATCTCTGTTAAAACAACACAAGAGAATCACGTACCAAAAACAAGCTTGATCAATTACGACTTGTGCATCCTCATCTGAATTTACACCTCTTCGAACCCCATTTCATGGCACAAAAAATATTTGTATCCCGCAGCACAACTAATTCCACTAAAAAAAGGAGTATCCAAATCTGGAATATAACGGCCACCTGCACCTGCCAGTCTGCCAGCACCTTGGAATCCTACAAGGCTACAACACCCGGACCTGTTGTTCCATACAAACGAAACGAGAACAAATCACACCATCAATGATTCAAAGGACATTAAGACATCATTAATTATTACTTCTTCCGGTCAATTGGATTGCTTGCGATTTATTTTTAGTTCAATCCTATTGTTGGATAAAAAAGTTCTAAACATACTTGGGCTTGTATTAACACTATGAGCTCAGAAATCAAAGTCTATGACACAAATGTTAAATTTTAGTTTACGCATCATGGACCTCATGCACATTACATTGACATCAACGCCGTGAACAATGAGAATAAGTCAAAATTTTGATTTTATATATAATCTTTTGGCGGTGTAAATTCGCTGCCATCCTTGTAAGACGGCTGTACAAGAGGTAAGTGCTATACTCCCCAGCCCAGAATCCCATCTCTCACCCTCTTCCCCCTTCTTATTTCGCTCTCTCAATCATCACGTCCAGTGGGGCTAACGTTTCTTTCACACAGGCAAAGAATGAAACAATCATGATCAGGTGAAACAATCCTTTTTCTCATAATCGTTCATCGCAGAGTAGTTGCAGGGGCAGTGCTGTTGCTGTTGCTGTTGCTGCTGCTGCACCATTCGCTCTAAACCCGCCTCTTCCCACACCCTGCTCATAGCCAGACGAAAAGGCATCGCCTTGCCTTCTCGCTCTGGCATGAAGCTGATGATCTTGTGGGGCTATAATGGCTCGGACGTATGCTGGCATCGCCATTGCTGCTCCTGCTGGTGGTGCTGTGTCGTGCTTCCTGTTCTGCCAAGTGGAAAGATGAGTCATGGTTGGCGCTGCACCGGGTGAAGCTCTGGCTGCCCTGTACTGAGCAGCTGCCACCAGAAGAGATTGCTGAACTTGTGCTTGTTGTTGCTGCTGATGGTGTTGTAGTAGTTGCTGAGTTGTTAGGTTAGGAGGAGCATACAGTGGCCTGCCGAGATATGTCGTTGTTGGATGAAGTTGAGTCTATAGTTCACACATTGAAAGACGGGCATAAGTAACGAGTGGAACAACTGAAAGCTCTAGAAAGTTGTGTTACAAGGCACGAACGAAAACCTGATGTGTTGTAGCTCCATTGAAACTTGTATTGGCTTGGAGAAAGGACATGAAATTGAAGCTCTGGAGAGGGGGAAAAAACATAATCCCATTTGAGGATAGTCAGGATAAAGCATTTTCTTTATCAAATGCTAGGAACCAGAAAGGCTATAATAAGATTATCACCTGCTGCTTCTGAGAACTGTATGTGCCAAGAGGAAGGACAGTGGGTTGTGACTGACAGGAGCCCATCCTCCTCTGATGCAGAACAATACCTTCTCTGGCTGATTCGTTTGTACCTGTTGCGGCAACTTCAGTGAAACCCTTTCTTATGTCATGGAAGTCATTCAGCGTCATAGATAATCCTGGCTTCAACGTCTCAGTGGATATAGCTGGTGGATGTTTGTCTTTGCTTTCCGAGGTTTGTAAAGTCTGTATGAGATGGCTTATGCAAACGTGAATCATGCTTCTCCTCCATGGTCTTCTGTCACTGACCTATTGATCAATGAGATGAGATTTAGAAATAACAGCAGATAACAACGGAGATAACAAAGTAAGAACAGAAAACAATGCACCTACCTTCGAAGGCGAAGCTGCTAGCCTAGAAGTTGATACTGCAGCATCCAGCCAAGCAGGAAGTTTAGCAGGAGAGCATCTGAGGCAGCCAAAAAAGCAAAGTGCATAAGAATCGTTATGACGAGGACTGTAAATATTGTAAGCAGTAGGGGGGATAAAGATCGAGCTTACTGCAGAGAAGGGTTCTGACTAGAAGATGCACCACTTGATGCTGCTGAAGACAATCCCGGCCACAGATCTAAAGCTTTCCAAAGAGAGAGTTGCCAAAATCAGTACAATTTGAGCACGTGCAGAAATTAGAGCTTCAAAGCAAATGGACTGTACCATTTTTCTTTGGTTCATTGACTGGAAGCTGCTTATCCTGTTGCAGCCCTCGTGCAGTGGTCTAAAACAAAAAATTCAGATGAGAACTGAACCTATTTTGAACGAAAAAACAAACAATGACTGAGCTCACCAGCTCCAAGGAAACCTCTGTCATTCTGCCAAGTAACCAATGTTCTGGCTTGGTTGGCCCATTTTTCTTTCTGCAAGTTGAACAGCATCATATTATGCACAGCAAACTCGGAGAAAAGAAGGGGATAACGAAGAAGAACCCCAGATAAGTGAAGTCTATCATCAGCATACTCTGTATCAAGAACTGGCTCAAGTGGAATGAGAGCATCAGTCGAATTGCAGACAAACTTCTTTTCCTTCTCAAGTTTATCCACCAGAGATGTAGTGTTCATGTTTACTTGACCGACAAGATTCACAATTTTCTCAGCCAGACTTCTACCATTGTAGATTTCAGGAAGATCCTGGACTCGGGATATCTTCCAAGAGCTAATGTCAGCGGTTTCCTCCTGAATTTTGCCCCTCGAGCTGAGGATTGAGTTCAAATCCTCTTTTTTTTTTCCCCAACCAGTCAACGAATCAGACAAGTAGAAAGCACGTCAGCAAAGCAACTTGAATATCACAGCATATTTCGACTAATCGGCAAATAGCTACAGACTGCTACCTTTAATTGCAGAGCCTGGAACCTCTCTACCATCCTTCAAAGCTGCAGCATTTTCATCTGGAGGATTGTTTTCTAATTTAGCATCGTTATCAGTAAGGGTATTGTCAGGAAACATTCCAGCCAGAGCATATAGAGCCTCAGCAACTTCCTCCTCATCTTTAGTAATTGGCCCACTCTGTTGCTTCTGCTGAAGAACCAACCAATATCCTGTTAATTGAACCTTGATCCAGAAGGCAAATAGAAAAGTACACTGCAAATTAGTAGAGGGAGATATCAGTGACTCACCAAGCCAAGCCTCGATCTTTTGAAGCCGTTGCCTCTTCGTGCTTCTTCGTCACCAGCAGTTCCAGGGTTCAGCTTCTGTGAACCAGGGAGAGGTGGAGACATAGACTCTCTACTCCTTTTCTTCATTGCTGTGAACATCAAAGAAGACGATGAAAAAGAAGAAAACTTTGACATTTCCGACTACTTAAAAGTTAAAAGCCAGGTACGATCCAGTAACTGGTAAAAAGGTAAGATTAAAATTACAAACAGGTAAATTCGAAAGGTTATCATCAGCCCATTGCAAAAAGGGTAAAAAAAGTCTGAGTTCCTGCAGCATTCACATTCCAACTATCTATATACTCAGAAAAAGATAAAGGACAGAGAATCTTTGCTTCCATGAAAAGGAAGAAAAAGTGTCGAAAAGCCTTCATCAGTTTTGCTTAAGCTCTAATCCATAATCAAACGAAAAAAAAAAACAACTCTCACCTGAACGTAACTTCCTTGGAACAGTGGCATGGACGACGCCATTGCAGCCATCAAGCAACTGCTCAGAAAAAATCAAAAGCTTAAGAGTTACTAAGCAAAACCCACTGAGGACAGAGATTTCCCAGTTATATAAACATCCAAACTTACCAAACAAATCAAGAAAAATTACCTTTCTGGGGAGCTTGAATCCCTTGCTATGGACATAATTGCCACTGACAGGGGAAGACGAAGAAGAAGGTAACTGTTGCTGCTGCTGCTCATCTCTATCACACACGTCACCATTATTATTCCTCTTCCCCATAATCAACGAAGATGGTGGGGAATCCTCGAAACTCGAGCTGCTGGCTCTGTTAACGGCGCTCAGCCTTCTAATTCTCCCTTTCTTCGATTTCTCCGGCGCCAGTGAATCTCCCCCAGATGCTGCATTCCAAATGAACAAAATCAAAAGGTAGATAGATAATTAGCTACCAGTACCAGATGGATATTTTAATTCAAAGCCTGACTAGCAACGAACAAAAGTTTTAAAAAAAAACAGAGCATAAACGACAAATTCGAATAAATTCTTCTGGGCTTCCTCTATCTTGTTTTCTTGTACAAATTTTTTTTCTTTCCTTTTCCAAAATTTTCAGGACCAGAAAGAGGGAATATTATTCACTCACCAGATTGCTGCGGCTTCATCTGGCGCGCGAACCGACTCGCTCCTTTCTTAATCTTCATTTCTTATAGTAAACCAAAACCAGAAGCCATCTTCTTCTTCCTCAAAACGGCTTCCGCGGCTGAAAAATGTTACCCAGCAAACCCACAGATCTTTCCTTCTCTCACCCTTTACTCCTTTCTTCTTAGGGACCGATGAAATGAAATGGAACCACCCGGAGGGTTTAAATAAATGAACACAAGTTAAATGAAGTGGATTTAGCAGCAGAATGCGGCAGGAATCAAGGGATGAAGGAAACCAGAGCGTCGGTTCAGAGAAGGGAGAGGTTTAAAAGTGGGGGATGGTTTAATGGTGGTAGTAATTATGACTCCACAAGGGAGAGGCGAATGAGTTTCGTGAGGGGGAAATAAAGTGTGTGGTGTCTAAGAGAAAGAAAAACCCGAGCTCAGTGTCCGATCTACAGTACTGGAGAGTGAACAAAACGACGGAAATCAAAAGGCAGAGGACGAAGCAGAAGATGAAGAGAAGAAGGAAAAGTGTGATGGCGCTTACTCGTGGCTAAGGAGGAGAATCAGGTTCTCATCGTGAAAAAAGAAAAGAGAAAGCGAAAGAGAGAGAGAGAGAGAGAGAGAGAGGACAAAAGGAAAAATGGCCTCGCTGAAGGCAGAAAGACAATCAGTCTCTCGTCTCTTCTCTTCTCACACGAAAAAGAAAAGGAAGGAAGAGAGGAAGAAAGAAAAGTGAAAAGAGCGCGCCTTTCTCTCTCTCTCTCTCTTACTTTCTCGGTCTATCGGTTTCAGGGTCACGCTTGTGAAACACCTTGTGGTGTTGAGGATAAAAAGGAAAGAGCTGCTTCAAGCACAGATCTCATTCAGCTCATTAATGGCGCTCCCCCCTTCCTCTCTCCCATTGAAATCACCGCAACTAATTTCAATTCAGTTTCCAAATCAACTTCATTATCGACCCTAATCAATGCCCCTCCTCTCCTATTCCGCCATTGCCAAACAAGACAGAAGAAAATTCAGACGAGAGGAAATGGGAAGAAGTCGAAGAAGAAGAAGAAGAAGCAGAGCGAGGACTGACTTTTCCGCCATGGAGGTAAGCTAAAGCTGAGCTCTCTCTCTCTCTCTCTCCCACTCCCACTCCCTCTCTCTATCTGTGTAGTTCTCAAATTTCAACTGTTGCTCTGACTCTGACAGCAATGGAGTCGCTCTCAAACAGGACTGAAAATCCGAACCTTTTGCTCTGCACTTCTGCAGAATTAACTCTCTCTCTTTCCTCCACATTCATACGGCAGTTTCTATTCTCACGTCATCCAGGGACGACCCCTGCAAGACCACAATCGACGGTGTCTGGTCGCTGCCATTCCTCAGCCGTTGGATCTGACTTGCCACGTATCCGCCACGTTGGACGTTTGTCCCCACCCAGCACCAGCAGACCTCTTTTTTTCAGTTTTGTGATACGTCCTTTTGCCTTTGCCAGCGTGGACATTGTGCAAACTGTACTGAGCTTTTGGGAATCGACGGCTTCCATTCTTTCCGGATCAACAACCCGGACTGTCTCCAGCCGTCGGATTCGTGCTCATCTAAGGCGGGCTGATGATTCGGTTCCAATATGCAAAAAGCACGGTGTGGGCTCGCTCGCTCGCTCTTGGGCCGGCCTCTCATCATGTGGATTGCGTGAATTCGTCACTTTCTCTCTCTCTCGTCCCTAGTCCAGAATTAGATTGAATTTGTAAAACTGCAATAATGACAATTTTTTTTGCGTAGCACCAAAAATTACTACTCATTGTCATTGCGATCCCAAAGCCCATCCATACGTTACTACAGTTAAAGCTGCGTCGTCTTGGGACTTGGGGCGCCAAAACCCAACTGAAGCGAAACGACGACGAGTCACTGAGCTATGTGGTTTAGGTGGTGGGGCCCGTGACGAATGAGAAGGTTCATTCATTCTGGGTTTTGCATTGCTACAGTTGAAAGGAAGGCAGACAAGCAGGGCCGGCCGCAGTAGAAGAACATTTGCTGCTGCAGGGGCTGATTTGATTTTTAGTAGTAGGGGAAGGGGGGCTGTAGGTTACGTGTGGACCTCTAATTGGGCCACGCAGCAACCAATGAGTGGGCCTACTATTCTATCATCTTGCAGGGCCTTACCTAAGAGCTGAATAGGCGGGCCTAATTGGCTGTTGAAGAGTTTTGTTGTCAGCAGCAATGGAGTATGGGTTTGTTCCTTGGAGATGCCAAGACCCTTATTGATCATTGCAATAATGGGGTTGTCCAAGATGCAAGGATGGGTGCCATTTTGATCGAAATTGGACATTTGTTGCATTCTCAAGTTGATTTTCATATTTCATTTGTTGGTCGTGTTCGAAATAGGACGGCTCACTTGGTAGCTCGTCATGCCCTATTAGTGTTGCCTCACGTGTTCTCGAGGTTCGACTTTACTCGTTGGTTGTGCTCTCGATAACTATGTACATGTTGTTCCTCTTAATTGAGTGACTTAATGGCACAAAAAAAAGTGACAAAACCAGGAATCTATGTTCGGGTAATTAGCCAAAAGGTCACAAAACTATGCACTTATTATAAAATGATTACAAACTTTTAATTTTGCACGTTTTAAATTTTAATAACAAATGTTTAAACGAATTAAGAAAATGTCATTCCGTCCATCTCCATCTAAAAAACCATTACTTTTGTCCAATCAGCGTGCCACGTCACTTAAAATATTAATAAAAAATTAATAACCAAACCTAATCAACCTAACTGGTTGCCGACTCAAACCCCTTCATCGTTGTCATCTGCCCTACCGTCGACTGTACCTCTGCCAAAAACATCTCTTTACTCTCCTAAAATCTTCAGTCCGATGAACCGTTCGTCCCTTCGCATCAGATGGAAATCCCCAAAAGTTGTCGGCTGAACCCAGTAGCACAATCCCCCACGCACTCCCACACTGCTCGCCACCGCCACTTTCCCACTGCCGCTCTTCCTCCTCCCCCGTCGTTACCGACGCAAACGCCAAACTCTGCGCCAGCAAAAGCTTCATGAGAGCCCAAAATGGTCGTTGGATGCTCGGAGGTAGTCAAATGCACTTAAGGTTTCTACAAACGATATATTAGAAGCAGCAGACGATGAAGAAAGCTTCCGTAACCTGAGCACCAAGCGAAAATCACATTCAACGGTGGATGGAAATACAAAGGTAACTGTTGACCAAACTGAAGACGAAAGAGTCAAGTCCAGTGCAGGCCAAAAGGAAAAAAACGGACGACACATCATTAGTGGCAAAATTAGAAAAGTCTATTTTATTGGGTAAGATTATTAGGGGACAATGATTCGAATTTAGGGACGTTTTGGGGACTTCTAATTTTTGTTATAGAAGTGAAAGCTTCACAACGCCTGGGTAGACGACGTCGATGAGGAGGTTGAGCCAGCAACCAGTTAGGTTGAGTATGGGTTAAATGGGTTTGGTCATTGATTTTTTTAGTAATATTTTAAGTGACGTGGTACATAGATTGGACAAAAGTAATGGTTTTTTGGATAGAGATGGACTGATAGACCGATAATTACACATGTTTTTACCCTTATTCTTGAGCCGTTTGAGAGGTTGATTCTCGTATTTTAAGCCGATTTCACGCTAGGTTGTGCGTTTATGTCATATTTCAGGACCCAGCGTTGGAATCGAGGCGGAGAAACGAGTTTTATGTCATATTTCAGGACCCGGCGTTTATGTCAATCCGCCTTCACCTCTTCCCCCATTCTCTGGCGGGGAATGCTAAGAGGTGGTTGGAGACCCAGCCCCCATTGTCCATCACTTCTTGGGACGACCTGGCAGACAAGTTCGTGCACAGGTACTATCCAGCATCGAAGACCACACAGCTTCAACAGGAGATCACTCACTTCCGCCAAGAGCCAGACGAGTCACTTCGTGATGCATGGGAGCGGTACATGGGATATTTCTGGCAGTGTCCCCATCATGGCTTCAGTGATGCATTCACAGTGGGGAATTTCTACAGTGCTCTCTCCCCGGACAGTCAGAGGGTGATTGAGTCTCTATGCCCAGGAGGGGATATTCTCACTAAGACTCCACCCGAGCTGAACCAGATGATCAGTACCTTGGCTGCCCGAGATCATCCTGGGGGCAGAGCAGCAGAGGCAGAAATTCCCGGGGCCATGGTGTGCACGCTATGGAGGCCAGGTTCGGGTTAGAGCAGCAGGTGGCTGAGTTGGTGCAGACATTGAAACAGCCCAACAGTCTTATTCCGGGCCGAGGTACAGCTACGCCTCCAGTAGCCCAGTGTCAGTGGTGTGAGAGCCCGAATCATCTGGTGGAGGCTGTCAGGCTATGAGGGAGTCCTCTACTCCCCAAGAGCAGGTGGACTTCATCGCCAATGCTCGGCGCCTTAACCCATACAGCAATACATACAATGAGGGGTGGCGCCAGCATCCCAACTTTGCCTGGGGCAGCAACGCCACTAAACCCCCTGGTTTCCCAGCACCAACAGGTGGTTTTCAGCAGAGAAAGCCCTTCCAGGCTAGGCAGGGGCCACCACCACAGCAGCAGCCCTACCATCCTAGGCAGGGACAGCCATTCCAGCAGCCCCAGTGTCAGTATGCCAAGCCAGCAGCAGCGCCAGCTCCCGATAATCAGATGACCGAGCTGAAGAACATTTTGGCGACATTCATGACCACCAGCCAGGCGAATTTCACGAGGGTGGACCAGAGCATAGCCTCATTGGAGGCAGGACAGAGGAACCAGGGTGCCATTTTGCAAGATTTACAGAACCAGGTGGGTGTCATAGCTCGCCAAATTACTACCCGGGCCCCGGGGACTCTACCTGCCACCACCATCCCCAATCCACGGGAGCCACACCAGCAGTTGGACGCCATTTTTACCAGGAGCAGCAAGACCATCTCAGCTGACCCTGCCCCGGCCAGGCAGGAGGAGCCACTACCTGCTTCAGCACTTCCAGCCGATGATGCAGAAGTGCGGGTGGAGAAGGAAGCCCCTGCTCCCAAGCCACAACCAGTGGTTAAGGAGCATGTGCCCCAACTTCCCTTCCCCACTCACCTACACAAAGACAAGCTGGAGACTGAGTTTGCCAAGTTTATGGCAATGTTGAAGCAGCTCAACATCAGCATACCGTTTGTGGAGGCACTGTCGAAGATGCCCAAGTACGCAAAGTTCATGAAAGATCTCCTCACCAACAAGAAGAAACTTGGGGATCTCTCGATAGTGGTGCGGAGCGAGGAGTGTTCTGCTATCCTGCAGAACAAGCTGCCCGAAAAGCGCAAGGACCCAAGGAGTTTCACTATCCCTCTTACTATTGGCAGCATGCATGTAGGCAAGTCCTTGGCGGACCTAGGCGCTAGCATGAACGTCATGCCATATAAGTTGTTTAAGAAGCTAGACCTAGGTGAACTTAGCCCTACTAGGATGAGCATTCAGCTAGCTGATCGTTCCGTTGTGCATCCTAGGGGTATCATAGAGGACCTGCTTGTTAATGTGGGTGCATTCACATATCCTGTTGACTTTGTTATTTTGGATATAAATGAGGATGTGGATGTGCCTTTGATTTTAGGGAGACCATTTCTTGCCACCGCCAAGGCACTTATTGATGTGCATGATGGTAAACTGATCCTGCGTGCTGGAAATGAACAAGCTACCTTTTCTGTGACTGAATTCGATCACTGTGCTATGATTGTTGTCACACCTGTGCGTGCTATTTCTGACCAGGTACACGAGCCTGTCGTGTATCCTTCTGCATCTCCCATTTTGCAGGACCCTCCTCTCACTCGTTCGCCGCCACTCCCTCCATCCTCGCCTCCGCACAAAAAGATCAAGGAGGAGTGGCGGCCGAAGCAGCAGGTTGCTAAGCCTGCACGGAAGAAAGGTGGAGACCACTACGAGCTGGTTCCACCTCCTGTACCACGACCACCCTGACCATCCGAGTACTCACTCGCCTGCATCTTGTCTGATGGCCAGGTCGAGCTGACCAATAATGGCGGTCGCACCCGTCGGGTGCATGGCCACAACCTGAAGCTGTACCTCAAGAGCGACGTGAATCCGCTCTTGGAGTCACCTGTTCCTGCACCCCGCTGAGTATCCACCATGGGCGTCCAGCTAAAAGACTGTAAAGAAGCGCTTGTGGGGAGGCAACCCCACCACGGTTTGCATTTCTTTTTCCCTTTTTTCTGAGTTTTTGTGTCGTGTCGAGTTAGTTGCATGTCTGTGGTGAAGTTCGGTCGTTTGTGATGCCTCGATTTGGTGTTTTCGCGCAGGAGAGGTCGAAATTTTGGGCGAATGAGATTTTTGGCCGGCTGGGGGGAAATACCCGGTCGTGGGCCAAAATACCCGACCAGGTATTCTTGGTCCACGATCGGGACCCCCTCTGTTTCTCGGGGTGAAAAAAAGGGAAAACCCCGACCTTGTCCCAAAAATACCCGACCGGGTATTTTTGGTTCAAGGCTGGGGATTTTCCAGGACTGGAAGGCAGAGTTTACAAACCCCCAACCTTGACCCAAAAATACCCGACCGGGGATTTTTGGCTCAAGGCCGGGGATTTCCTTGCACTAAACGCTGCGTTTGTTAAAAAACCCCGGTCGTGGAATCGGAAATACCCGACTGGGTACTTTTGAGGCCCGACCGGGGATTTTTACTATTTAAAGCAAACCCCCGGTCAGTTTCTCTCTCTACCCTCATTTTCTAAAATTTTCCCTCTCCTCTTATTTTCAAATCCTCTCCCCTCTCTCTTCTTTGCCGCCGGCCCCGCCTCGAGACCATAACTATGGTCTGGTCTGGTTTGCGGTCTCCTCCTTTAGTGCGTGGTCTGAAGTGGTTTGGACCGCGGTCTACCGCAGTAAACCGTAACAGACCGCGACACATTACCTACTAACTCGAATAAAAATAACACTAAATTGAACCTTCATTTGTGTATTTGAAGAACAAAGTTAGTTGATTCTTCATCTAGTTGAGAGCCAACAAATTTCCAAATGATCGCTTATGTGTTATCTCATTATCAAAGAACCACACAAAAACCAGAAAGACTCATAAATAATATTCACAGACAATGTCTAGACTATGGTTCTTCAAAAAAAAAAAAGTCTAGACTATGGAGTCGATAAAAATTAAACGATAGAAAAATTCCTTCACCTTGATGAGATAAGAAAAATTATTGAGAGAAATGTGACCATCTTAGTTGTTCAAAATTACCATGACATCATCATAAAGGTTATCAACCGGGAGAACCTTCGGATCACTCGAGAGAGGAGAGAAGCGGTAGCACAAAGAGGAATAGGGAAACAAGGCTATTTGATGTGTGTGCGTTTGAAAATTGAAAAAACTCACTTCTATCCTCATATTTCTTCTCATTTAATTACGATCACTTTTTTTTTTCAATAGCATATTGGTCACTAGAATTTTTATTTTTATAGATACCGACGAAGGGTTGGAGGGCGAACAATAGTTAATTTTTTTTAACATGGTCTGTCTGGTCCAAACCATACCAGACTGCACCGCACAGGTGTGGTATGGTCCATGGTCTGTATTCCAATCTCTCGGTCTAGACCGTATCTATGGTCTGATCTGGACCGGACCGCACCGTTTCCACCTCTAATTAAAGGTTTGTAACCGTGTTATACTAAGTGCATAGTTTTGTGACCTTTTGTGCTAATTAGTACCCTCTCTATGTTGTGGTATGTCTGGATTGGTGCACAAGGATTGCAGGTAGAGATGGCAACAAAACCCGAACCCACGGGTACCCACCCGACTCAACCCGGTCAATGTGGGTAAAATCCGTGTTGACGGGTTTTGGGCCGGGTTTGGGTTTCAACCCGTTCACTATTCACCGGGTTGGGTTGGATTTGGGTTTAGGTAAATCCGCCCCATGGGTACCCGCCCACACCCATATAATTAATTTTCTCGGTATATTTTATATTCTAAACAACTAATCTTATTTATGTTTGTGGAGATATATCTAATTTTTTCTTTCTAATTGTGTAGAATGAAGTTGATGTTATCGAGTGGATAGTGAAGAAACTTAATTGAAAGGAAGAAGCTTTCAATTAATCATGTTATTTATGGATAATTTGTGATTTGCTTCAATTTTTTTGAGTTTTCTAGATTGGTGTTGAACAATTTGTATAGTTAATTTGTGATTTGTTTGAATTTTCTAGAATGGTGTTTTATATATGGATAATTTGTATTGAGAGATTGATATTTGACTTTAATTTTGATAGGAACTTGTTATTGTAAATTTTTTACAACAAAAACCCGTGGGTACCCATGGATATCCAGCGGGTTGGGTTGGGTTTGAGTTTTTCAAATCCAATGGGTTTTACTACGAGTTTTTTTCACGGATAAACCCATGGGTTTGGGTTTGGCAAAACCCGACCCAACCCGACCCATTGCCATCCCTAACTGCAGGTGAAAATTGGTTCAGTGGTCGGTAACCTATGGGCATGTAGCCTGTCTGTCGTAATGGGAGCCCAATCTTATAACTCTGCGGCTTGCCTCGCCAATGGATCGAGTAAAGCTGCCTGGCATAGCTCGCAACACAAATAAATAAGAGCATTCACATATTACACGGCATGCATAGACCAAAGCTAACGAATAATTTCTTCACTTTGCAATCCGGGCTACAATTATTTCTTCACTAATAATTTGCATGGCTATCATCATTAGAAGGAGGACTTGACGACGCCGTACTTGAGTCTTCTTAATTAAGGGCACTTGTGTTTTCCACCTCGAGTGGTCATGTTAGCGTAGCAGGGACAAGTGTCGTAGTTGCCGGAGGTTCCCGGCGGGACGCAGTGGCAGCGCTCGCAGCAAGTCCCGCACGCTCTCTTGCACAGGTTGGGCCTCGACGACAGCCGGCACCTCCCCTTGCATGCTTCCCCACAATCTGGTTTCATTCATACGTCAAAATCGAGTCAGCTCGACGAAAATTCATCAATGTATAACCGTATTCTAAATAGAATTTATCGAGTTGACTGATTAAATTAACTGTACAAAGTACCAATTGATGGAGGAGAAGAAGGGTCGTCGGCCACGTCCTGGATTAGCTTCAAGTAGAAACAATAAAAATCCGTTATACTTCATGTTTGATGTATAGATAATATATAGTTACTAGTAATTGAAAGGATATGATTGTACTGTCTGTACGTATTAGTTAAAGAGCGTACCAAGATATCATTATGGCACTGGGCTAGTTGAAGAGCGACGAGGCAGACCGGAAGAAGAAGGACTAGTATGTTGATGAGAGCAGTCGCCATGGCTAGCAATCAAAGCAAGAAGAGAGCTCTTTTATGTGTTGGTAAATGGTGAAAGCATGAGATGTATCCGTGCTGTATTTATAGCAATAGCAAAGACTCTCTCTCTCTCCATCTCTCGGATGTACATGTAGAAGGCAAGATGGGGGGTGTTTTGAAATTTGAACGTGGAAGGAAATTTGGGCAGAATCGTAACTCATTGGGTTGGAAATAACTGTCCACATGTTTGGTGGGTTTACTTTGGGCATTGCTTTGGAATACAGCATAGGTCAAAATCAAATTTCCCTTTTGTTGAGCTCCAAAGGGATTGGGGTATACGTAATTTAGCTTCAAATATTTATCTTCGTCACTTCATCATCATATGCATGGTTGCGTATACGAGGTACAATGGGCTCGTTGAAGTTTGACGGGCTTCTTCTATCCTGAGCCCTAGTGTCAAACAGGCTCCGAGAGATACAAACTGGATGCCTAGTTGTGTGAAGACTGAAGATGGGCTGAATGCATGGTTAACTTATGTCGTCACCACCTCGGGCCCATGTATTAACAAAATTGATGGAAATTTAACACCTCCCGTCACAATTCAATGGTGAAAAGTAGAATTTGAACTAACTTGTATGGAGGTTTGAGTTGGTTAATGACAATTTGTAGTAAATAAAATAACTCGTATGGATAAAATCGAGTTCGAATATTACAAGTAACTTGTTGTGTATTTTTCTTTCTTCTTCCTAACCAATATGAACCCACCCGGTAATTGGAGATTTAGTATTTGTAATTTTTCACTTGTACAATAATGATATGCTCGTGACTGATAACACATAGTTGAAAATGATAAGGACAACACTACTTTTTTTTTCGTTGAATAGAACACTACTTTTCTTTGGTATCCATGGATACTGAAAATTCGTTTGAGTTTGATAATGATTTAATTTATGGATAAAAATTGAATTGAATAATCAGTATGTTTGAGTAATTAGAAGAAATTATTTTCATAGACAAGATACATGGTAATCATTAGAATATGATGTGTTGAACACACACTACAAATTCCCTTATTGTATAAACTAAACTTGTATTTTTAATATTATAGTACAATTTTAAATTTACTCTAAAACATTGATATTTTAGAGCATAGTAAACTAAAAAAAGAGAATTAAATTCTTGAATCAGAATTACCATGTAATTTTATTACCCAAGAAAATAACTCCAAGTCCCAAGAAGTAATCGACATTCTAACAATAAAAATAATAATTAATGCTCGAACAAAGTCCAAAGTCACATTCAGACCTTGACATTTACGTGACAAATAACATCCATGTAGCTTTTATTGCCTTTTTATCACCGGATTATTTGCTTGCAGTCATGATGATACCTCTAATGACACTTTAACAGTACCCTGTAAAAAGAAGAAGGGCAAAAAAAGAAAAAAAACGGAAACATACACACAAATTACAAGAAGCAGTACATCTAACCCTCTTTCTCCAATTCCTCTCTCTCTCCGGCGACCGGAACAAAACACTTATCATCAAGGGCACTTGCGGACTCCGCCGTGGGTGGTCAAACCGGCGTAGCAAGGGCACTTGTCGTAGTTACCGGCTGTCCCGGGAGGAACACAGCTGCACCGGACGCAGCAAGTCCCACAAGCTCTCTTGCATAGGTTGGGCCTGCTGGATAACTGACACCTGGCGTCGCAAGCACCCCCACAATCTGAAGAAAATGCACAAATTATTACTTTAGCCACGGGTGATGATTAATCCGTCGCCAATAGATTGTGATTAACAATTATTTACTACTAGTGCCGGCCTAATGGTAAAACTCACCGAATTTGGGAGCATAGGGCGCCGGTGCCGGCGGATGATCAGCACGAGCTAGCTGGATGGCGAGAAACGAGAGGAGAAGGGAGCCAATTATTAGAGACTTTGTGGAGGTGGCGGCGGCAGCCATTGTAGAACAACTTGAAGTTTTAGTCTGAAAAAATAGTTTCGATCGGTGGAGGAATGGAAGGATGGGTATCTACTTTTTATAAGGGATGACAAGACGCGTCTAATTAATGATTAAGGTAGATAGGAGAGTTATGGATGGCAGGGGAATCAAGTAAGTGTGAAGTCTCTATGAACATTAATTAAAGCATTTATGTGTAATAAAAGTAGTCATGATAATAGTTAATACTAATGCTAAAGATGGGCTCAAAATAGGGATGTGTAATCATCATTCAGGAGCTAGTCCATTTCTTATGGACCCTCCACATTTAAGATGAATAAAATTTCAGTATCAATTCACCAGGAAAAAAAAGGGATGTGTATAATTTGATTGGTTTTTTCATATGGAAGTTCTAACTTATTTTGGTTTCGAATTTATTTTATGACTTCAATTAAGAATATTAATGGTGATCAAATTAGACTGTGTATTATTTATTTGATTATGGTTTTCATCGGTTGATCTTATCTTTCCCCCCCCCCCCCCCCCCCCCCCCCCTTTTATTTATATCTATTTGCTTCTATTCTAGGTCGATTCAGACAATATTTGAATTAATTTGTTTCTGTTTATACCATCAAGAAAAAAGATACATATCTTCTTGTGGTTTTGATTAAACTATAGAGTACTATAAGTCTATAATCCACAAACCATAGACTTACAAATTATATATGTGTACTCAAAGGAAAGGACTGGTGACTGGTGAGGCAAGGAAAAAGAAGTATGTGAAGGGAAACCAATACAGCGATGGATGACATTATGGCATTAGCTGGGATTCGCGAAAGAAAGGTGTAAAATGAACAAAGGGAATGGATCAGATTCAGAGCTGTTCCTAACTCCCATTTCCGGAGTGCTTCCCAGCCATTGGAGGATCAATCCCATCTCCCTTCTCGTAAACGAAGACATACAGAGACCATTGTATTTGGGTCTTCGTCACAATTGAGAGATGACACTATTACAGAGATTTACATTGTCTTCTCTTCGATAATTTCATTTGGCAAATAAGTACATTAACAGTACAACTCCAATCAGGGTACTAATTAGAAATGAGAGCATATCAAATTGAGACGGTATCTCGAATTCTCAATATCCATACAGGTTTCGTGGTAAGTTGAGTGTATTGTAACGGGGAGTGAGAATTTAATTATGAACTCGTGGATAACTAACTTGACACGATTTGATAAAATCGGGCAAGACAAAGAGTCAATGAACTTTGGATTGGGTGCGGAGAAAACCCATGCATTTTGGAATTGATAGGTCTTCTCGATGCCAGTCTTGCCAAAATACAACCTGATTCCTACCATATTAATATGAATAATTTATGAATGTTATTATGGTTTTATGGTCATATAGTTCTAAGAATATGGTTGCTTTAAAGATGCTATTAGTCTTTATTTGTGACAATATAGTTGTAGAAATTTTTTAGATAATATAAGGATGAGTTTGTTTGAAGGAATAATTCACGATTATGTACGTCCATGAATACTTGCCAGGTTGGATTTGTCCATCCTAACATCCAATAAATACTTTACTGAATTTTATTTTTAAAATGCACGCATTTAATTATTTTGAAATTTGAAGAACCCGACCAAAACGATCCATTCTCGTTCCTAATCACACATTGTAAGTTTTTTTTAGCATGCAAAACTTAATCAACAAGGTTACATGGTGCATGTAAGCTGTCATTTAATAATCAAGCAATCAATTTTGGAGTGGATTAAGGTGAACTGCGAGTTAGGTAACTGAGTCCATCATTAGTTGACTGGTTATGCAAACAAATTAATAGTTAAATATATGCAGCATATGGATGCTGTAGGAGGAAGAGAGGTTGGTAAGTGGTGGAGGTCCACGGAAACAAATTAACAACGGGAACATGTTGGTCGCTATAGCTATCCTATATGACTAATTTAAGTGAAAGTTTCACTTTGGGGAACAAAGCAAACTCTCACTTGGCTTCTTCTGAAAAGCAAGCCATCAGTATGACTTGTAAGTGGTGACTATATCCAGCCAGTGGCGGATCCAGGAATTCTACATAGGGGTGTTCTCTATAAAAAAATTAAATTAAATATTAGAATTAAATTAAATAATTATTAAATTTAAAAATATCTAACTAATAAAAGTTTCATTAAAAGTTCCGACGTGTTTCGTCAAATGATAAAATGCATTCGGTGTTTATATTGCTCAACAAATATCTCTCGACATATCCTACTAGACAAGGATATCCCGTAATTGAGTTTAATCGTTAGGTTTTGAAAATAATTTGAGATAAGAATAACATTTTACTATTATAATTGGATCTAAAACACAATAACAAATGAGTTGTAGCGTAATTGAAAATATATTAACTAATAGTGGCAGTGTCCCAAATTTAAATAACATAAACTACTACTTAAATATTATTTGTACCAATACGCAAACTACTACGGGAGATTGGATAATCATTTTCCCAAATTTTAAAGGTGTCCCACTACCATTTAAACATTTTTTTCTCATACGCAAACTACTATCGTAGGTTGAATAATCGTGTTTCCAAATTTTAGAAATGTCCCGGGACACCCCTAACCATGCATGTATCCGCCACTGTATCCAGCTGGAGATGAAGTAGCTAGCTCTACAGCTGGACTGTATAGAAGTACGAATCTTAAATATTAATTATTCGTTTGGACTTTGGAGTTGCTAATTATGCTGTAGACGGGTCCCTCACTTCATAATTCATTATGAGTAGCTACCTCCCTCTTCCAGCTTGCAGCATTGGATCAAGTTGCAAGTTTATGGTCTATTGGTCTATCATAAAATAAAGTAAAATAAAAATTCAAAATTATGATTAATTTGAAATAATTTTAGGATGAGAGAGAAAAAAAATAATTGTAAAAAAACATGTAAAAAGAGAAGACAGACAAAAAGGAGAACAACCTTAATTTGACCCAATTTCCAACTAGTCTACTTGAAATAAAGTGGTCCAATTAAGGGAATATGACTAGGGGTGGAAATCGGTACAGTATCGGTATCCCAGTATCAAATACCGAAATCTTGAATATTGAATTACACCCTAAAATCAATCCCAATCCCAATCCCTAAATAATTTCGGTATCCCAATCCTAATTCCTAAATAATTTCGGTATCCCAATCTGTACCTCAGTATCCCAATTGGTATTATCGAATACATAATTAATTACCTTTGCAATTTATAATTAAATATATAATTTATATTAATTGTTTAATTTAGGGCAAAGAGACTAAACAAATAGTCTTAAGCTGCCTAGAGCTAACATCTCAAGTTCTTGTAATTGGTAATCTTTAATTTGACGAAATTGAGGTTGAGAGACGACTAATACTAGTGTGAAATAGTGAAGTAATGATCTATGTATAATTAAATGACACTTTTGGTGGTTGAGGCCTGAGGGTCGCATAGTAGTGAATGAGAGAGTCTAGTTGATAGGATAAAATACACACTAGCATATATTTCGGTATTGATCGGTATTTCAGTATATACCGATCCCAATCCCATAATCCTTAATACCGAATAGCAATTGAAATTCAATCCCAATCCCAATCCCACGAAATAATACGTGTATTCAGTAATACCAAATATAGACAAATTCGGTACTGTATTCGGTATATCCCAAATACCGGTACCAAATCCAGCCCTAAATATGACAATTGTAAATGGGCAATGGGCTATCCCAGGGATAGTGTAGAATATCAATATGGCCTCGTGAATATGATTTTTCTCACATTATTATTAGATCAATTTTTGATGTAAGAAAGGGTAAAATATCTCCGGTACTACTAAAGTTTGAGAATTGGTGCAGACATACCACTTAAGTTTGAATAGGGCGTCGGGTACCATTAAAGTCACCAAAATGTGCATCCGTCTAGTTTTCCATCCAACCCAAAATTTTAATTACTTTTTGGTACCCAAAACTTTTAAAAACATCCAAAACTATATTTCAACAAGTTTTTATCTAATATAGAAATTAAAAAACCTTCTAAACAAAATATTACTAAAATGACTAATCAAAATTTTCAATAAAATAGATAAGTTAGTAAAAATAATAAACAAATATCAAGAAGAAGAATAAATATATAGAATATAAGAATAAATATTTAAAATCAATATTAGAAGATCTATTTAAATCACTAATCCGATAAGAAGTACCATTAAAAATAGTTAAAATAGAATCTAATCGATCATCAATACATCAAGACCAAAGAATGATAAATGGAACATAGTTAGAAAGAATTAAACATATTCCAGTAATTGAAGAAAATTTAGAACGAAAAATAGAACGGAAGTAACCAAGAAAATTATACAACATCCAGATGATGTACGAGAATTAAATATAACATCCTCATATTATTTATATCGATATAGAATTCATAGGATACATTTGCTTAAACAAATTATTCGACTATTATAACACGTAATGGTAATTTAAAGTACTTATAATGATAATTGATTCTACATTTCCTATTCAAAAATTGGTTTGCTATCAAAATCTTAAAAAACAAAAAAAGAGAATAATTCAATTATTAGAAAACATAATAATAATTGAAAATACTTATAATAATAATTGATTTTAAATTTTCTATTCAAAAATAAATTTGGTATCAAGTTTTCAAAAGAGGATAACAATTAAATAATAAAAATTGATATTTTTCATAAGTCAAAAATGATTTTTTACAATAAGAAAAGTAGAAGGACCAATTAAGAAATTTAGAAAACACAATATTCCAAGAATATTCTGTTAACTTTAACGGAATGCACTTAACATTAAACTTAAGTGGTACCGGGTGCACAAATATTAGAGTTCAGTGGTACCCGACGCCCTATTCAAACTTAAGTGGTATGCATGCCCCAATTCTGAAACTTAAGTGGTATCCGAGGTATTTTACCCATGTAAGAAACAATAGAGCGCTGATTAAGGTGAACATAAAATTGGTCCATTTGAAGAACACTACATAGATAACCTGAATTTGGCAAAATTAATTTGGGAGGTGTTTTAGTATGCTATATAGCATGGGTGCTTTAATA